TGAAACCCAAAGTCATAACAAGACTTCCCCCCCCCCCTCTTATTCCCTGGATTTTGCCCATTTCCCTCAACTTGTTACCACTGTTTTTCTGCCACTACAACACGTGTGCAGCTGCTAGTGATGAGTAAACGTGAGGTCTGCTCACAAACAGTCTATAATCTGTGGAGGAAGATTCAATTGCTCACTGGAGGGACCAATTAAAACATGAAAAAAAGCTTTATTGAGGTGATTCTAATTTGTTGCACCTGAGGTGACCACCAGATGGCGTGCTTTTATTTACCAGATGTCTTCACTATCAAAAAAGTACTAAAAATACCAGTATTACCATGTTTTTTTTTAATGTTTTTTTTTTTACATTTTTATCATGGTAATACAATTTACTTTGAGACAGGGCTATAGGCCTGATGGTATTTCTGTAGCTTACAGTGCCTTATATCATGGTACATGAAGATAATAATCATTCAATACCATTATAGGCTTCCTGTTAGGCTAATTTGGTGGTCGAAACAGAAATCCAGCTGAATATAGGCTACATGCTGAAACCTTTTTAAAATGAATGTCTTTAAAGTAAGCAAAGTTAGAATGTTTTTCTCATGGGGTTTTCCCCCGTTATACAAGCAAAGTGAGAGTTGAGTTGAGGATAGCCTACGACCAGACACTGGACCGAAGTCAGACGGTTTTCACGCCGTGAGAACGACGTGGTCACGCATGTCTCCGTGGGGGGCGGGGTCACACAGCAGGGCGGGATTGATGGAGGGAGAATAATACAGTAATCTACGAGAGAGAAGAAGAGAGAGAGAGAAACAACATCTGGAGGGGAAAAAAAGAATCATCATTTCATGTCCTCCACCCTCTGTCTTATTCTCCTCCCTCTCCCTCCGTCTCTTTTTCTGACTGAGGAAGGAGCCGGGAGACAGTAGACAGGCGTCGTAAGCAAACGATGCTCCTTTGAAATGTATTTATTTTAGAACGATTTATCGCAACTTGACACAGTTCTATATTTCCTGACAATTTATCCTAATAGCAACAGTTTGCGTTTTTGGTCTAAGTATAGCCTATCGTGTCATGCGTGAGTTGGAAACGGTCAGCTGCATCCAGGAGTGTTTTTGATGAAGACATTCGTTAAGCGTTAAACGGACCGCGCGCTTCAAGTCGTCACGTATTTCGGAATCAGACGGAGCGTCTTTATCGAGGTAAAACCGTCGCGCACATCTGGACAAACACAATCTGTATCAGCTCACGTCTAGAAAAGCATTAAGGTTGTGTGTGTGTGTGTTGTTTTGCGTAAGTTTTATCCAGACAGTCTGACTGACCCAGTTTCTTTAATGTTGAATAGATATCGAATACCAAGGAATAGGTTTGGTAAACAGACTCCGTCATAAACAGGGACCACCTGGTGTTATATAACTTATGACATTCATTTTCAGGGCAGCTACAGGTGTGAACGGAGGACACCTGAGCGGGTGGGTGGGAGGTTATTTGTGTTAAATTCAGATGCTGTAATATCATGTCATTTTACAAGGCGCTTTAGAGTACTTGATGCTGATTGGTCAATCCTGACATTCGGCGGTCAAATATTTTTGTGTAATGAGCGCTATTGTTTTTATTTGACATTGTCTCACAAGATTTCTCAGCTATGCTAGTTTACTTGTCTTGTATTGGTCTGCAGCCGTTATTGCACATAATAAAATATTTCACGTTTATTTTTTATGCAGTAAAATATGTGAAAATTTCGTAGTTTACTCTCAGCAGTTAATTATCTTAAAATTAACCCTTTCAGCATGATACAAGACGCTTATGTTTCGTGTCCTGATTGGCTTTATGTCAGGGCAAATAAGATCCCATCCTGCATTATTGTGTTATCTTGTCATAGCTAATTGGACATTTTTTCATAACCATTTAATGTTAAGCTAGTAGGTTAAATTGTTAGCTTGCTAACTTAACCCTTTCAACATGAAACAAGACCCTTATGTTTCTTGACCTGATGGGGTTTATTTTGCATTTATGTCAGGGCCAACTAATATCCCATCCTGCGCTATGTTGATATCATGTCTGAGCTAATCAGAAAAGCTTTTCGTAAACCATTTAATGTTAAACTAGTTGGCTAAATTGTTAGCTTGCTAACTTAACCACTTCAGCATGATACAAGACCCTTATGTCTTGGGGTTTATTTTATTTATGTCGCAGCAAACTAAGATCTCATCCTGCGTTATTGTGATATCTTGTCGTAGCAAATCAGAAAAGCTTTTCATAACCATTTAACGTTAAACTAGTAGGCTAAATTGTTAGCTTGCTAACTTAACCCCTTCAGCATGATACAAGACCCTTATGTTTTGTGTCCTGATGGGGTTTATTTCAGTTTTATCTCGGTGCAAACGAAGATCTCATCCTGCGTTATTGTGATATCTTGTCGTAGCAAATCAGAAAAGCATTTTGTAACTATTTAACACTAAACTAGTAGGCTAAATTGTTAGCTTGGTAACTGAAAACAACATGTTTACGTTTGACCACTTTAGCTCCTGTAACATAATGGGATAAATATCTAATTTAAAAGACAGATTACGAATAAATACACCATATTTCATTTTTCGCTAACGAAAACAACAACAACAACAACAGTACATTCCGTTAAATGGGTCGTACAGTTTTAAGGTCCTAAATCAAGTCTAATTTTTACAAGCCATGTGTAGGTACTGTTTTTATATATTCACATTTTTATTTGCAAACTATTTTGTATGCCGTCTACCTTTACTAAGGTTCATTAACGCTCATATATCTCACAGATGCATGCAAATAATCAAGATTGGAGTCTACCAAATGTACATTTTAAAAGTCGCTTATTGAAAAACCCTTACTGATGACCGCTAATCCGAATATGTGGGCGTTTGCCATGTCTAGCTCAGTGTCTATGGTGGTTATGGCAGTACTTTGGGAGGTTCTCTGTGCAACGCCAAGCCCAGTCCTGATGCAACAAACTGCAACATTAACAGAGGGTCTGAGGAATGAAATGAGAGACAGATTGTGGATGAATGTGTGGCTGAGGGAGTATGCGTATGAATGTTTCAGTGGGTCGTGAGACATTGTTTGCTGCGATTGCTGAGGGATGTGTCGTCCATACATCAGTTTTGACTTATAATGTGGTCTTCGCTTTTGCGGTAAGGTTCGTTGGAGAGAATGGGTGAGGAAAGACAGAAGGGAGAGATGAAACCACACATTCTTTTCTTGTGAAACACCAACCACCAATGGCTGCTTCTGGAATTCTTCATCTCCATTAGTTCCTTATTTAACTTTACCTATACGAGGACGCCTTGTACAGCATAAACACACGATATTGAGCAATATATCTGTTCATTTCCAAAAGAAACAGAGAATTCCTGAGCTCCCGCCCTCCTTTTTCTCTTCATCAACCCTTACGTCTCATTCTATTTTCTCAATCTCTCCCCCCTTTGGCTTGAGTTTGAGGTTGGACAGAGTTCCTGGAGGCCTTTGCAAATCATGAGCAATCCAAGGGGAGGAGGAAAGGCATGGAAAAAGAGAGCGAGAGAGCAGAGAAATATGAGAGCGCGAGAAGGGAGAAAATGATGTCTGAAAATTTTTCGAATTGCACTTAATCCACACCGTTCATTTGATTCTCAGCCACGACCGTTCTCCCAGACTTCCTCTTCGCTCCACGTCGATGGAGAAACTGCGCACGATTGCTGCGTTGGGTCCGCAGCTGGTTCTTGTTATTGTTTATGAGCTTGGCTCTCTCTTTGCATTTCTAATGTACACTTAAAAGCGCAGTGGAAACAAATTGGGTGAATCTGCTGTGGCCAGAGGAATGTGTGTGTGTGTGTGTCTGGATGACAGACTATACAGAGAGAGAGAGAGAAGGGGAGAAGAAGGAATGGGAATTTTAGAGGAGGGGAGACTGTGTTGACCTTGTCCTGTTGCCAGACGCAGGGGGTGGAAAGTGAAGGAGCGATGAAGAAAGAGAGAGAGGGAGTGATGTGGCGCTCATTGCCTTCTGTCGGATGTTGTTGTTTCTTCCTCATCAGTGATTCATTATTTAGCTGTGTTTTGTTCTCCACCCTCATCCTGTTATGGATGAATGCCAGAGAGTGTTTTTAAGCGGGTCCTCAGAAAATCTAAAAAAAATCTTTAAAAAAAAAGTAAATTACAGTAAGAAGGAAAACCCAAATATGCACATAGTATTATATTGCTTTAAATTGTTGGCTACTTGTTTAAGCTAATTTAAATGTTGTTTTAGATTAAATTGCTAAATAAATTATATAACTTACACTGTTAACTTTAAATAAAGAAGTAGATATTTTCCAGATAATGTCATTGAATAAAAAATAAAAAAAATTATATGACATGTATACCAATAATTATTTGATATATATAGCAATTAAATGGTTAAATAAATTGACCAATAAAGTTCATAGATTAGACTATGAATTTTATACAAAGCATATAATTTCAAATGGCACTTTTAATATACATTTTATATACATAATTACAAGTAATATGAAGTAGTAGCATATAAATTGTTATTTATTTATTTTGTTGCCACCCAATTAAATGGTTAAATGAACAAATTAATTACATAAAGTAATGTAATATAGTTTCAATTGTTTTTATGTATAAATTATTACTAGTAATATATGAGTAATATACACTTGTTGTTTGTCATTTCTCTGATCACAAATGCAGACATGGTTTTATGTTTACGCGGCGTGGTGCAACGCAATGCGTAAAAAGACAGTTATAGTCATTATAATCCGTAATTATGTCCCCACTGAATGCAACAAATTCCTCGTTTATAATGGGTTTTAATGTTTTTGTCTCGTCGCTCCGGCCGGGACAAGGCATCACAGTATGGTGAGGGGTGTAACATTTCCGTCACACGCTTGAGGTATTCGGCCAATCACAATGCACTGGATAGCTGGAGGGGCGTAACATTTCCGTCACATGCTTGAGGTATTCGGCCAATCACAACGCATTGGATAGCTGGCCAATCACAGCACACCTCGCTTTTTCAGACCGATGAGCTTTGTAAAAATCGACGCGTTTCAGAAAGGCCATACATAGAGGAGAAACAATAATGTACAGTATGTGGAAAATAATGTGTTTTTTTAACCTTAAACCACATAAACACATTTTATTACACCAAATACACCAAATAATGTTCTTTTTAGCAGCATCATATGACCCCTTTAAATAAACTGACAAATAAGTTAAACTATGAATTTTATACAAAGCAGATAATTTCAAATGACACTTTTTATATATATTTTATTAACATGAATAATTACTAATAAAATGTAAGTAATAGTAACAATATTATTTATTTTATTATTTATTTATTTGTTTGCCACCAAATTAAATGGTTAAATAAATAAATTGTAAAACAAATTACAGAAATTAATTTCATGTTGTTTCAAATGACAGTTTTTTTAAATATATAAATTATTACTCATAATATATATGTAATATATCATATTTTAGGATCCATGCAATTAAAAAGTAAAAAGGAAAACTCCTAGTAAGATACACTAGCAATCCATCCTTTCTTTTTCTGGCTCTTTCTCATGCCAGACACTGAGATTGCAGGCTAAATAATGGGATTGCATCACTGAGTTTTGGAAGGAGGGAGTGAAAAAGAGAAATAGGAAAGGAATGATCACCCGCAGCTTTTCGATGTGAGTCAACAAAAGGAGGTAAAGGGCCAGAATTTCAGACACTTGCAGATGTGGAGGAATGAGAAACAGAATAGAGAAAGAGTGACCTTGTGTGTGTCTGTGTGGAGAATATAATCATAAAAGTATATATTTAAAGTAGGTATTTTTCTCCAAAATAAAAAAAAGTATAGGTTTATTCCATCATTTGGACATTTTGGCACTTCATTGTCCTCACAAAAACACCACCTCACTGTCACTGTGGTTGGACACATTGTAAAGTAGCTACTCAAAATCCATTTGAAAACCTGTTGAATGTTACCAGGAGGTCGACATTCAGAAATGTGTGCAATATTTGTGGTGTTTGAACAGTATGTCTCAGTGTTAGCGTGTATATAAAGGCCAGAAAGTAAGGGTGGAGCTCGAGGAAGAAGTTAGATTGAAAACAAAACCCTATGCCAGAGACTGAGAGTGAGGGAGGGACAGAGGGATGGAGACGAGGGGAAGTGTTCAGCACTCAAACCTTTTGCAATACTGTGTAATATCACAGAGAGGGAATCAGAGGAATGAGGAAATGAAAGCATGCAGGAGCTGAAAATGAATAGCCACAAGTGTTTGCTCGGAGATCAACATTTCAATGGTGGGAATGTTCTCTGTAAGAAAAAAAACATAACTTTGGGTCATGATGAATGTGGGGGTGTGTTGAAGGTGCTGTACTTCCTCATTCCCGTGTAAGGGAAGAAAATAATTATATGGTTAGATGAATGTTTATGTAATGCACATCACCGTAAGAGAGGATGTTCAGTGGGGTCCAAAAAGGTGTCGTTTAAAAGTCACTTTTTCACTTGTAGTTAAAAATGTTCTGAAAAATTACTCACACAGATGTAAATGAGATTATATCTTTATCCAAACAGATTTAGAGAAATTTGGCATTACATAACTTGCCCAGCAATAGATCCTCTGCAGTGAATGGGTGCCGTCAGCAATGGTTTGAAGTTAAAATGCTTTGATGGATTTGTTTATTACAAACATGCAGCTTTTCATTTCACAAGATGTTAACTGATGGACTGGAGTGGTGTGGATTACTTGTGGATTATTGTGATGTTTTTATCAGCTGTTTGGACTCTCATTTTGACGGCACCCATTCACTGCAGAGGATCCATTTGTGAGCAAGTGATGTAATGCTAAATTTCTCCAAATCAGTTTTGATGAACAAACAAACACTATGTTGGATGGCCTGAGGGCGAGTAAATTTTCAGCAAATCTTCATTTTTGGGTGAACTATTTCTTTAAACATTTTAAATGATTGATTAATTTATTTATGCAAAATAGTAAAGAACTTTAATATCGGCCATAACCTGAAAATGATGAGTGTTGGGGAAAGTTACTTTTAAAAGTAATGCATTACAATATTGTAAAAAGTAACCCGTTACTTACTACTTTATGGAAAGTAAATACTTTGAGTCAGTGAATAAATGGGAAAACAAAGTAATTTGCATTACTTATATGAAAAATTAACCCAGATACTTTTTTGTAAGTATTTATAAGTAATGCATTACTTTACTACTAACTTGAAAAAAGTAATCTGATTACGTAACTCACGTTAGCCTACTATAGTAATGCGTTACCCCAATGCTGAAAATAATTATCAACCAGAATTTTAACTATGGTGCATTCCTAATTTCACCTAGTGGTCATAGACTTTTGGACCATTTTGTACAAATAATTGTACATATATGTGGAGCCAGAGGCCCAGTCTTCATCAGCTTTTCCTCTGCATCACAGAAAGAAACCGAGACGGGAGGAAAAGAATGAAGGAAAGCAAAGAACTCAGATCTATATATCTCTGTAATGCGTTCTGCATGTTTTGACTGCAGTGGGGCTGCTGGTGTGATGAACAGCTTGTGTGTGTGTGTGCGTGACCTGTCTGGCACAAAGAAATGTAAATGACTTACAGTTGCTGAAGTGAACACGGAGCTGCACATGTATGGGAGTGTGTGTGTGTGTGAGGGAGAGAGAGGGTATTTCCTTCTACAAAATAAGCTGCAAAATCACAGCTGTCAGTGTTGGTGCCACTGTGAAGAGTCGTAATGGAAAAAAGAAAAAAAATGTTTTCAATATATACAGTATATATAACATGGTTTGATTTTCTCAGGCTGGTGGATCAAAGCCATGCTGTCGCTGGACGAGCCCCTGGACTTGAAGATTCCCTCTGGCCGTGACAGGACACTCAGAACGTCCATCTGTGCCCCGCTGCACTTTTCTCGTGCTCGAATATCCCGCGCATTGCACAAGGCCAAAAGCCCTGGTTAGTCAACTGACCACACAAACCACTACATAACTAAACTATAGATGAAACACATACTACTACGGTTATAACGTGCATACAGTCATATACTTTTCAATGGAATGATAATGCAATTTATGAGATTAACAGTTATGTGGATTATTTAGTCACTTGTTTCATTCCTGCAATGAATCAGAGTTTTTGAACAAATCAGCTGAATAGTATCTTGATTCGTTCCTGAATCAGTCAGCGTTATTTAACAAATTGGTTCAATGAATGATTCAATGACTCGCTCATAAAGACAGTCACTTGTTTAGTTCCTGAATGAATCAGCTGTTTTTAACAAAATGTTGAATGAACGATTCAATGACAGGTGGCTGCATCCAAAAAAGCATATTCACTGTATAGGCACTTCTTTTGAATAAGTAATTCCTTTGCAACTGTTAAAAAAGTTTGTTCTATATAATATGAATGTGTGTAGTATGAATGTAATTCGAACGTACTACATTTGTCTTGTTATCATTGTCATGTGACCAACAATTGACTCACTCAAAAAGACAGTCACTTGTTTCATTCCTGAATTAATCAGTGTGCTTGAACAAATTGATTCAATGAATGAATCAGCAACTCGCTTATCGTGACTAGAGCCCTGCATTTCAGCCCGGGCCCCGATTTTTTACGCCCCTAGGGCCGGGCTTCAGGCTGATTTTCATGTCATAGTTCAGACGCGCACCGAGCTTCTCCTTCTTTTAGGCTTCTCCAGCAGCAGCAGCGAGCGCAAGTGACTTCAGCGCAGCTGGAAGAGATCTGCGTTCAAACGCACGCAAAAGGCTAAAGCTTGCCGCAAAGCACCGGCAAAAGTAATTACTATGTTATAAAAAGTAGACCCTTTACAGTTCTGAATTATGTATTACTCTTACCTTAGGAGCAAAAATTACGGCATATTTTAAGTTGTTTCCACTGAAAAAAAATGCAAGTGATCACGTTGTAGAGGTCGACCGATGTATCGGTTTTGCTGATTAATCGGTACCAATAGTTGATTGCCGGAACTATCGGTTATCGGCAAAAATCCATGCCGATAGTTTTTCCGGGTTGCGTCTGTTGCTGGAGCGGCTGAGAAGCTCCGCTGTCATTATACAGTACGAGAGCGAGAGCGCCCTCTATAGAGGCGAAATCACTGACAGCACGTGCTGTTTGTTTTGACACGTGACACTGCGCGCTGCACAGAGCGGGACACTTCAGATGCGCAGATTTAAAACAGACAACGAAACGTGTGTACACAGTACACTATAGCATTACATTTTAAAATATATTCAAATAGAAAACAGTTATTTGAAATAACCTAGTAAAAATATTTCAAACTTTTGCTGTACTTTGGATCAAATAAATGCAGGCTTGGTGAACAGAAGAGACTTCTTTAAAAAACATAAAAAATCCTACTGTTCAAAAACTTCGTATATAGTCAACTTTAATTTTTCTCTCATTTCTAGCTTTTAATTTGGCTCTTGAAAACCTCTATGCCAACACACTTGCCCGAAAAAGTGCGGGGGACGAATTTACGTGATATTAAAAGTGGGGGGGACACGTCCCCCGCGTAATCTACGCCCCTGACTATAGTGCATGTTTTTATATCATTACTAAGTAATTAATTTGTTAACTGGATGCTGCATTAGTGGAGAAAGGACAGCAGTATGTTTGCTATCAAGGCTGAGAGGACGCGAACATTAGCAGCACTTCAAGCGGTTAAAACAATGTGACCAAAACACACGCAAGTCTGACGCAAATGCTAAATGTCATGATTGTTAACATCTATTTGCATTAGTTTATATCCAGCTGGTCATTTTAATGCATTTGCCATCCAGCGAAGTTGCAGATTTAAAGCTGTGACGCGGTAAAGAAACAGAAATCCTGCCGCTCCACAGAGTGCCATTCACACAGTTTTACATTAAATCACATTATATTAGTCCCAAATCGTCGTTAATGTACATAATGACTTCACCCTAGGCTGTAAAACTGTGTATTGTGCATTTTTTCAGTGAAACGTTTGTCCTTCTGTGGCTCTAACAAAGTCTGTATGCTTCATATTGAGATCTATAATATAGATCGCACATTTTCTTTCTGTTTTGCTCTGGGTTTTTTTTTTTTTTTTTTAAACACCGAACTTCAAACTCATCTATGCCACTTTTTGATCATTCTTGAAGTGAACTTTTGCCCGTTTGGTGACTAAATAAACTGTTTTAGGCCGCTGCTTGAACTGAACACAACTCGTCCAGTGCGAGTTCTCCTAGACGCGACGCTGTGCTTTTTGCCCGGTGTCCGACTGCCATATTTTGTTATTTTGATTAGGTAATCATCGCGTGTTCTAGAAGAAAACTAATTAAAGTGTGAGAGTTTACATACAATATCCATATGTATGTAATTTCAATGCAATGGCCTTTGTGTAGATATTTAAAGATGGCCATCTAGTTAGAGTGTGCTCATTTCAACATCTACTAATACATTTTTTAATTTTGAAGTTTAATGATCAATATATAATTAATATTAATATTTTTATTCATGTACAAAGTATGGTTCAGTACTTTTTTAAATATAAATGCACTATTTTAATTTTTGTTAAGTATCCATTTTAAAAACTATCGGTTGATTAATCAGTATCGGCCTGTGTGGTCCAACCTAGCTATCGGTATCGGTAAAATCCACTATCGGTCGACCTCTATCGTGTTGGCACCTCCATGTCCTGCAGAGTTTCCACTCTCTGCACAAATGCTTGGATATGCATCTAACATCGCACATTCATCTAGGTTTAACATTTAAACTAACATTGTTATATGCTTGAACTGTTTTATATCTATAGATTTTATTTTAGGCAAGTCGTGATGATTTGAGAAGGCTAAATTGATCAAACATAGGCTATGATCACTGTTTTGGGAGAAGGGGGAAAAAAGACGGGTTTGGGTTGGACACGGGCCGGTAATTCTGATAAGCTGTCAGACACGGGCCGGGCTAGGACCTTAGCGTCTCGGGCCAGGGCCGAGCTAGGGCCTATATTTGAGGCCCGTGCAGGGACTTTTGCCACCTACTGTCGTAACAGTGTAACTACAGAAAGAGTCACTAAAAACCATCACTTAATCTATAGTCTGACAGTCAATAACAGTCTCAGTTGTACAAAAACTAACCTAATTTCTTCTTATCTCCAGATGCAGCTGACAAGGACATGTCAGATTCTTCATCGTCCATGGTGGTAGATCTGAGTCTGTCTCCATCTTCCTCTCCCTCACCACCCTCTCCCATAGACAGCGGCGCTAGCTGGAGCCCCACAGCGCCTCTTCTGGCCTCAGTGAGTAACTTGTACCTCAAACTCTGCAACATTTTTCAAATGGTTCAGTTGATTTTGAACAACACTGTTAAATGATTGTATGTGTGTGTGTATATAT